TGTATGAAAAGTGAATTTACTCTGTAAATCTTCACCCAAATCCTAATAAAAAAAAAAAAACATATTATAAATTTTATTTGAAATGGAATATATAATACTACTAGCATATGTCAACATTTACATCCATCAAATATAAAGTTGTGCAAGAGAAGTGAATTTTTTACCCTTCTATTTACAAAGCCATGCCCCTCCCCTATTTTAATTCAATTCAATTAAGATCAAGAAACAATTTCTGAGTCTGCTATTTGATAGGTATTAAGGAAAGGGAGAAAAGGTAAGATCAGTTCTTGAGGTGCTGGAGGAAGGGAGCAATCATATAAACATATCATCACCAAATGAGGTGAAAGACATGTTGGGGTACAAAAGAGGAAATGATACTTCCCTGTCTAGGAAGTCTACCACAGGAGATATCATCTGAGCTGAATAATGAAGGAAGAGATATCTACTGAACAGGTGAAGGTGGGGGAAGAAGGTATCAAGGGATTGGTATGGATACAGAACAGGCAAGCACAAATTGTTGTTGTTGTTGTTGTTTGCAAATTAGCTGGTCTTATTGGGAAGGTAGTTCAGGATGATCACAGCACAAAAAGCAAATGAGTGATGAAGATGGACTTTGGAGACAAGACAGGGATCAAATCATGAAAGATCTTACATGCTAGTGATAGACTTGAGACCTAATCTTTCAGGAATAGGAAACTACTGAACATTAGGATTTGGTATAAAATGGTGAAAAGTTTGTACAAAGAGTAGATGCTTCTTTGAAGGAATTCAGCCAAGAAAGGATGTAAGAGTAGTGAATAAGTCATTGGTCAAGAGTGTGAATGAAGGAGGCAGCTTCTGGTTTTTAGGTGGGACAAGGTTGAACATACTTATGATGTATAAGGAAAGAATAAGAAGAAAAGGAGATATAGAAAAAGTATAGAAGAACATAGAAAATATGGAAGAAATGATGGATAACCACAGGTTGAAGTCACTCAGGAAAGTAGTAGAAGGAATAAAAATGCCAGGAGGAGAAACAAGCCTTGGAAATTAGCCTTCTTCCAGTGACAGTGGAGAGAAGGCTATGAGTAAGTTCCCAGGCAGAAAGAGGTGGTACAGAATAAGGTACTGAGGCAATGTTTCCTGATGGTCGGCCTCTACTTTCAATGTCAGCAATATCATTTGATCAAGGGTAGAAGACTCAAAAGTATCTGAGTTTTATATTAAGATATATAGGAATAGAAGGGGGTCACCAAGGAAAAGGAACCTGTTTTTATTTTTTCTGAAGGCACAATCTAAGACTTGAGCCTGTAAGTCTGTGGGGGCAACAACTCTCTTGCACACTTCACATCATCACCATGTGATTGAAATGTGGAATTTGCCCTAATCAGAGACTTGGTGGAAAAGTTGATAGGAACAATGGCCTGGAAAACCAAAGGTGCTAATATGAGGGCATATGGAAAGCTAATAAAGGGGTGTAGGATTGCTATGAAGAGGGGTACCAGGACATAAACAAGTATGAAGAAGCAGACAGAGTAAAGGGTGGAGAGCCTTAGTGAGATGCCTTGGATCCCAAGAAATCAGAAAATCAAGTCTGTTTCTGCATCCCCGTGATGCCCCTAGAACTTACTTTGGGCTTGTCAGTCAGCTCTGTGAGTGGAGTTTGCAGGAAGAAGGTGGACACGATGAGGTAGACTTCAGCAATATGAACATGGTGGGCCAGAAAGTCATTCAAAACTCGAAACCCAGGAAGCAGGCAGGGGCTCTGCTCAGGCATGGCAGGGGGACACTTCAGGTTGTCTGTTGATGGGGGAAGGGGGCAAAAACCAGTGATTAAGAACAACTTCTGTTGCTCTGAGCAAGGTGGGGATTGTACACATGAGGAAATGCCTTGCCACCCTCCTACCCCTTAGAAATACTGGGTAGAAATATTGTTACACATAGATGAGCACAAGAAAGCATTCAACAATAATTCCTTTCCTGTTCCTGACATGCTCTTTCATTCATTCATTCATTCAGGAACAGACTGGGGTGGTACAAACAGTTAACACATTCAACTATCAACTGAAAAAGTTGGAGGCTCAAGTCCACCCTGAGATACCTCAGAAGAAAGGCCTGGAAACTTATTTCTGGAAAATCGGTCATTGAAAATCCTGTGAAGCAGTTTTATTTTGACATACATGGGGTTGCCATGAGTTAGAGTCAACTAGAAGGCAAGGATACTGTTTGGACAAAATATACAGAACGCTAAGATACAACATTCATAGTGTGTTGGGACAGACAGATATTCAGCAATTAAATACCCAAATAAATATCTATTCATGAAGTGTGAAAAGCACCTTAAAGGGAAAAAATAATTGTCTGATTCAGGTAGGACTCCCACCTTTCCTGGAAGAAATGGCATTTGAATTGAGACCTGGAGGATGAATCCACATCAGCCAGAGAGGTGTGTGGGTGTTTCAGGTTTAGGGAACACATTCCAGGCAGAGACAACAAGGTGTAAAGACCCCCAGGAGAAAAGAGCTAAAGAGAGCCTTTAAGGAAAGAAGATTCTGTGGCTGGAGTGTGCTGAGGTCATGGAAGGAGTCCTGATAATGTGAACCTTAGAGTCAGGGGTTGAATGTGATCCTAGCAAGGTCTTGAGGAGAGAGGAATAGAATTGAGTCTTCACTCACATCCCAGGATGAAGCAATACAGGGTCTCTTCCAGATTGGGCACACTTACCCATTATGACATCCACACCCAGAGTGCTATTTTCCACCCAGGATCCTGCAGACATGCCTTCTTTAAATCGCCCCCGGAGGTCTGGGTTTGACAAAAAGTGCAGCAGCAGCTTCAGCCCCAGCACAGTGGTGCTAGGATGCAGGTGGCCCTGCATGAGAAGCAGGAACCAGTCTGGCCCCAGGTTCAGAAACATTTCTTCCTTTAATCTGGGGGTGGGAAGAATACAATAACTGTCTCTCTGGTCATGAACAAATGGCATGCCCAGAAAGTACAAATAAAGCTCAGCCCCACTAGACATCTAGGAAAGGAAAGTTAACATTAACATTTGGATACTACCTAGTGAAAAATGTATTACATTTTAAAGGATGTTAAAATAAAATCCTGGCAAAATTGCTGTGAATTTGATGCAATCATTTGTTAATGACTGTGGTATAAAATGGCCAAATCTTTTCAAACTATGCATTGATATATGTAAAAATATACATGGCCCTTGATGACCATGTCTCCCTAATATTCATACTTTCACAGTGTATAAGTAACCACTCATCTAATTTAATTATTGTCAATATAGCCTTATAAAACATAAATGATTATTTACCTCCCTTTTTAGAGGCACTGGTCAAAATTTGAATGTAATAATTTAATATTTATATATCTTTATCAGTTTAGGTCAAAAATATGATTAAATGCTACTTTCTAAAATGAATTTTAAAATGTCAAATCTGGAGAAAACAGACTCCTGCAGGCAACTGGCAGGAAGGGATTGGCTGGCCAATCCAGCAGGACCATAGCCTCAGCATTGGACCTAGTCTCATAGGAGTGAGGGAGGGATCATCTGTACCAAGCAGTGTTTTTAGTGTCAGTTCTCAAACTTGCCTGATGAGGGTGTGGCTAGTATCCAGTGGAGACTGTCTGTGGGGAACAGTGGAAGGAGTACTGGACAAGGAGTCAAGGCACTGTCCTCTATTTTACCCCTTGTTCTTATGTTTACTGACTGAATAACTGTGAATAACTCTTGATGTGCTCTGGCCATTTTACTCAGTGATGTGATGATGATGATGACATTGACAACTCTAGCTTATAGAGTATTTACAGTATTCCAGCTAGCCACATATTAATTCCTTTAATCTTCACAAGAACCATCTCTTGTAGATATTGTTTTGATTCTCATACTGATGAGTAAAAGAGAGGCATCAAAACAAAAACCAAACTCATTGCCATCAAGTCAATTCCAACTCATAGTAAACTGATAGGACCAAGAAGGAGTCCCCATAGGGTTTCTGTTCTGGTTACCTAGTGTTGCTCTGACAGGAATATACCACAAATGGGATGGCCTTAACAAACAGGAGTTTATTCTTACAATTTGGAGGCTTTAAGTCCAAGTTCAAAATGCCAGGCTCTAGGGGCTGGGTGAAAGCCCCTCAGCTTTGGGCTTCAGCTCTGCCTCCAGCTCCCAGCCCACTGAAGCTAGAGGTGTTTCTTCATTCAGACAGCTGCTGGCTGCTGCAGATGCTAAGCTCAAGGTTGACAAGTACAAAGGCACAAACCCAATGTTACCAAACCACATGGCAGGCCATTAATTTAAGTCCATTGTAAGTCCCAAGTTTGGCAGAGCATGGCAGGCTGCTGAACAATGACACAGCTACATGCAGGGTCCAACATGCATATGCTAGAGATCATTCCCCAATGATCTTATATACAGGAAGCTGTATATAAGGAAGCTTCTGCTTATATACAGGAAGTAGATCACATTACCTAAGACAGCTACTCAGCTGCTCACAGTAGATTCCACCATGGAGTTGATTACCAGTCTCATCATGGGGAATACTACATCCAGCTGCCCAGCCCTTCAACCAGGCCCACCCAGCCATGTTGACACACAAACTGAACTATCAGTTTCCAAGGCTGTAAATCTTTACAGAAGCAGACTGCTACATCTTTCTCCTGCGGAGCGACTGATGGGTTTGAATCACTGACTTTTGGGTTAGCAGCTAAGCTCTTAACTACCACAGCACTAGGGCTCCTTGAAGAGAAAGACAAGGAGACATTAAATACTCTCCCTATGAGTTGGGGCCGACTCGACGGCACATAACAACAACAACAACAAATGATCACTTGGGATATATCTGGGATTCAAACACAGCAAGTCTAGGCGCCGGAGTCTAGGTGCTCAACCACTACACTACATTCCATTCCAAAAAGATGTTAAAAAAAAGGAAGGCAATAGAATCACCCATCTCCAAGGCAGTTCTATTGTTTTGATTCTAGGACTGTAAAGACTTGTAAGCTGGTAAATTTTTAAAGACTGTTTATAAGGCTGCCTGACTCTCCCTCACCCCACACACCATACACAAATGTAAACTCATTAAGAGTAAGGATATGGACTGCCTTGTTGAGCATTGCATCCCAAAGGGGGAATCTGTGTCTGGTATCCAGCAGGTACTCTACAAACAGTTGCTGAATGAATGACTCCAAGGTTGGAGGTGAAGCAGGCAGTTACTAGAGTTCGTGGAATCAGCCTTATGATTGAACCTTACTTTAAAAATTAATAGAAGGCAGATACTTTTCTTTTTAACTTGGGGAAAAAATATCAAACAGTAAATAGCAGTAGAATTTGGCAAGCCTTTTCCTTCATAGATGTTATTTTGGCTAACCATTTCTCCATCTTATTCTCTGCCAAGTCCAGGACATCAAAATCAGTAATTGTCACAACTGCCAAAACAATAACCATTACACAATAGAAATGGTGACAAAAAGAGTTTATTGTAATGATACCAAATCTGTTTCTAGTTACTCATGCCCATTTAACATTTGCATCAGAATATCTCAGGGCAAGGTCTGGTTTATTGGGTGGAGAGAATGTAATTTTCTTTCTGAGTTGTGCAGGAAACATACTGCAGAAAACTGATTCAGAGCTGCTAAACTTTTCATTAAAGAAAGATTTTAATACCGCACCCTGTATGAGGCAACCTCATGCCAAATCACTCTTCCTGCAGCTACTTACTCAGAGGACAGATGAAGGTGGTGAGAAGATATTACACTGAGTAGCATCTCCAGCAACTGGTTTCTGAGCCAGATTGTCTTTCCAGATGTTTGGCTTCCAGCTACACAAAGGAAAAATCAGATTTGAGAGAAAACGGATGTAAAGAGACATGATATTTTCCACAGTAAATCATCTTTTTCACCAAATGCTTAGTTCACCCAGGAATTGGGGCATGGATGGGATTCAAAATTTTGGCATTCAATTCCAGACTGCAATACAATGCTTAAAAAGAACTTCAGGAAATATTCTAAAGTTCTAAAGAGATTTCTTCAATGGATTCCTCCATCCTCCAAAAAGAAAAAAAAAAAAAAAAAAAAAACCCTAAAAATTATAAGGTCAAATCTGTCATTCAGTAAAAGAATTTTTTTTAAGTGATCATAGCTATAAAATTTATCAAACATCTACTATATACCAGGTGTTATGTGAGGCTGGGAATAGGGAGGTGAAGATCCTTGTTTTCTTGGTTCTTGCTCTCAGTTGGTTTCCAGACTAGCCTCCTGCCCAATTCTGACTCTGAATGATGTTACAATTAGTACATCTATATTTTTACTAAAAATAGAGCTTGAAATGTAGCAAGAGGGATATAGATCCAGTAGAAGAAGAAAGCTGACTTCTAAAGTGTTGTTAAAGCCCCAAAGGACATGTTAAAAAGTGTTTTAAACTAAGATGTTTAGTTAGATAAAATTTTCAGAATGGAAGCCATGCAAGGAGAAGACACTAAATAAGCCTACAGTTGGCCTGTTATTCATTCATTCACCCCCTAGGTTGGCCAATTCAGTACACATACATGCTGCAGACACTGCACTGATGAGACAGCTTGGGGAAGTGGGGTCAGATTTCCCTCCATTTGGATTCTGAACCCATCTCTTGTTAAGAACTTAATCTCTCTGAGCCTCAGGTTCCTCAACTATAAAATGGGAATAATAATTTCTATTTTTCAGGATGATCTAAGAACAAGAAATAACTAATATAATGTATGTAAATTGAGTAATCCTGTCCAAGAGAATCATTTGTGGTGATAGAAATGTTATGTAGCTGCATTCTCCAATATGGTAGCCACTAGCCACAGGTGGTTATTGAGTACTTGATATATGGATATATACAGATAGTGAGATGGAGGAATTGAATTTTTAATTGCATTTCATTTTAATCAATTAAAATTTAAATGGAACATACACACAATGGAATACTATGCAACACTAAAGAATAATGAAGAATCATCAAATCACCTCATAAAATTGATGAACTTGGAGGACATTATGCCAAATGAAATAAGTCAATTACAGAAGGACAAATATTGCATGAGTCCATTATTGTAAAAAGTCAAGGAAAGGTTTATACAGGAAAGGAAATTTTCTTTGTTGGTTACCAGGGATGGAGTGGAAGGGAAAGGAAGGATAATTAAGAGATAGGTTTGACATTGGTAAAGAGATTTAAAAATAATCTAGCTTCAAAAACTATCAACTAATGGCTAATCTTCTTTCTTTTTAAATAATAATAATAATAATTAAAAAAAAAAAAAAGAAAGAAGATTAGCCATTAGTTGCTAGTTTTTGAAGCCAGATTATGAGCACATGTGGGTTCATCATACTAATATTTGTTCTGTATGAAATGTTTTATAATACATTTTTGAAATAAGAAAATTAAAATTAAATGGTCATATGTGGCTATTACCTTCCATCTTAGACAGCACAAATCTAGAGATTCTGGGACAATGTGGTTAGTAATTGTTCTTTTCACCCCTTCCCTAGACAGTGGAGATACTGAATGCTACGTAGTTGCTGTTCTGCATTTGGATGAAGAGAGCTTCTCAAAGAAATGGATCACAAACCTGTGTATTAAGGTAAGCTTACAGAGGCTTTTGATACCAGAATATCATTTATTCCAGCTTGGTGGGACTGGGAATGGCTCTAGGGAGGAAATGACGCTGTGTCTAGTCTGATAGGGTGAGGTAGACAAGTGGGGGCAGGGATAGGCTTTCCTGTAGAGAGAACATGTGCAAGGGCATGGAAAGATGACAGGGTACTGAATATTAGGACTTGCAAGTGATTCACAGTGACTGAAATTGGAGCTCATGTTGGGGAATGGGAGAACATTAGACCAGGAAGGTAGGCAGGGGCTGAGCATGAAGCGCCCATGTGCTGCTCTATATGAACTAATTTTCTTCTAGAGGCTTCAGAATCCATTGAAGGTTTTGAAGCAGGAATACGTAACTCTATTTGATTTGTGGCCCTAATCATAGAAATACAGTATCACAGGCAAATAATCAGTGGTAGGTGATGTCCTCCCTCTTTGCCTCAGCCCCTCCTTCTTGCAAAGTGTCCCACAGCATGTGCCACCTAGGGGAGAGTCACTGATGGTTTCATATTGGCATCAGGGAAAGGTCTTCTCACCAGGTGCGGAGAGGTCCAGGACTCCATCCATGCACATCTGCCTCTCACTCACTGATGAAGGCTTGAGAGTATACACAACAAACAGCGCAACCCTTTATGCAACAGAGAGAGAAGACTACTCAACAGTGGGCTCAGCACATGTCTTCTAGGCACTTGCCAAGGTTTTCTGCACAGGTTCACCCTGATATGGCTTCAAGCAAGGGCTTAAGGGAAATCACATTATTCTCTGATCAATGCACTCTTTCCTGAGACTCATAAAATCTGTCACCCTTCACCAAAGTAGTTAACTCTGGCTCTGCCAGGTCAATATAATATAGTAATGATGAGGGAAGAAAGGACTAAATGTGGTGCCAGTCAGGAATGTCTTTCAGGAAGTCTGCAAGAGGCAGACATGTTGGGTAATTGGCCCTTATAAGGATTGCTGTAATTCACGAATATTCTTGCTTTTGAGAACAATCCACTGACCTCATCCTGAGTCTAGCAACCCCTCCATGCTATTTTCAACTCTCAGCCGGATCAGAAACCTCTAGGAGGTTCCAAGGAAATAGACTCTGTCATTGCATTAAGATGCAATGATGTTGGGTTAAATGTGGTCAGGAGCAAGCTGGGGCCCACATTCCCTTAGGAAAATGATCTGAGTCTTTCTCTTCCCCTAAGGAAACTTGGTGCAGCACCTGAGCAAGTCTTGGATGCTGAAGTGGCCCCTCAGCTGGTGGCCCAGGATAGCAATGATGGTAGGGATCTTGGAGGGGGTGAGGTTCGGCTCATTGAAGAGGAAGATGAGCTTGGGTATAAGCTGTGCTTGATGGGCAACTTTAGCATTCCTGGGTCCTTCCCTGTTGAGCCATGGAGAGAGGAAGTAAAAGCTTTACTGGAAATAACCAAATTTTCTGTGTTTCTGCTAAAAAGGTTTTTCTAGGCTAGGCTTACTCTGTAGCCCTCTAATGCCAACTCTTTCTTGGCAACTTGTCAAAATTCTGTCAGACATCCATCGAATACGTGTCCACTAAAGGCCAGAATCAACTCAGGATGAGCCTCCTCATTCTCTCCTAGCTCCGGAAGCGGCCTTCAGAGACAAACCTCCAATTATTGACTTTTAAGTACTGAGCCTCAGGGAAAACTGATGCTGGTCTCAGAAAACTCAGAACAAAGACAGCAGACATGTGACCATGAACACTTCCCAACAGCCAGGAGCCCAGGCCTCCACAAGCCTGTCTGGGTGTGTGTGCTCTTCCTGCCCTCCCTAAACCACAAAGTGGATGAATATACCATGCCAGGAGTCAAAGGGGAGAGAAACAGAATTAAGAATCGCATTCCCTGTTGTAGGATAATCACAAATCCAATTTCCAGTAAATTGTTCTCCCTTAAAGAAAACAGCTCCAAGGTAAATGTCAGTCTCTTAGAAAAAACAGGTACAGGATACAGAAAGAAAGAGGAAAGTAAGAAAAAAGAAGAGTGACTTCAAGTGGTTTGGATTTACATTTTGCAATCTGCCAAGTTCCACATCCATAATATCCAAAAGAGGCAGAAGCAGGCCCAGTTCTGTGAGTTACACTCATCAGCTCCACAGGGAAGATGTGCTTCCTTCCACCTGTGCACTTCTGCTACCTTTTGTATTCTTCCTTAACCAAACCAGAGCAGCATGGGTTTATGTGTAATTTCTCCATAGGACTAAGTCAGGCCCATCTCTGAATTTCCAGCTCTAAGAACTGGGTCTACCATCCGTCAGCTTGTTCTGTGGTGGCTTGTGTGTTGTGATGCTGGAAGCTATGCCACCAATACTCAAGTAGCAGCAGAGCTCTCTATGGTGGACAGGTTTCAGCAGAGCTTCCATATTAAGACAGACTAGGAAAAAAGGCATGGAGGTCTACTTTTGAAAACTAGCCAATGAAAACCTTATGGATTACAGCAGAACCAGTATAGTAGGTTCTGGAAGATGAGCTCCCTAGGATGAAAGACACTCAAAATACACAGTGCCCAAACAATGGTCTTGAGCATACCAATAATTGTGAAGATGGTGCAGGAACAGGCAGCATTTATTTCTGTTGTACATGGCATTGGTATGAGTCAGAGTTGACTCAATGGCAACTACCAGTAACAACTTGGTGGGTTTATAATCAATATTCAATAATGAGGATAAGGGGGTAAACAAAAAGATGTTTCTAAAAGACACAGATGATGTGAATAATCACTAGAACAGCCAAACCTGTGAGTGGGGAGAGAGGCATGGGTATGGAGAGAACAATTTCTTTCTTCTCACCTCCCTTCTCTGCCTCCCTTCTCTCTTATTCTGACCACAGCCCTGGTTTTCTCTGGGAACTGCCTCTTTCTAATTCATGTCCATCCACTCCAGATGTGAATGCATGTGTACCAAAAACCAAAAACCAAATCCAATGCCATAGAGTCGTATCCGACTCATAGCGATCCCTCCTTGGGTTTCCAAGGCAGTATAACTATGAAAGTAGATTGCCCAATCTTCCTTCCGAGGAGTGGCTGGTGGGTTTAAAGCACCAGACTTCTGGTTAGCTATCAAATGCATTAGGCACTATGCTACCAGAGCTTCTGAATGCATGTATAGGCCTGGGAAATATCATAAGGACTGGTCAAGAATGGGATGTGCCCAAGTTGGTCCAATGAGACAATCCTTTTGTTAATATTGTTGAGTTAAAAAAACATAAAGTAAATAAATAAATCCTCTTTCTACTAACTGTACCAGATTAAGAATGTGCTCTAAGGAACAGCCCATATGCTATCACATGAAAGAGGGCTGCAGAAATGAAGCCACCACAGACAGGGAGAGGGATGGAGTTCAGACAAAACAGTATGATTCCCATCCAGCCATGCATGACAGCTACATTGTTCAATTGTACAAGCCAATAAATTCGCTCTTTATCCAGACTCTCTCCCTTCCTTGGAGTCCTTGGGTGATGCAAACGGTTAATATGTTCAACTGCTAACCCAAAGGTTTGAGGTTTGAGTCCATTCAAGGATGCCTTAATGGTAAGGCCTGGTGATGTACTTCTGAAAAATCAGCCATTGAAAATTCTATGGAACTTGTTTCTACTCTGTAAACATGATTGTGTCATGAGTTGGTATTGACTCAAAAGCAACTGGGTTTCTTTCTCTCTCTCTCTCTCTCTCTCTCTCTCTCTCTTTCTCTCACTTTCTCCCTCTCTCTTTCCTTCTCTCTTTCTTCCTTAAGCTGGTTTCAGTTATATTTCTGCCACTTGCAACCAAAAGAAAGAGCCTGGTGGCACAATGTTTACATCCTTGGTTACTAATCAAAAGGTCAGAGGTTCAAACCCATCAGTCACTCTGTGGGAAAAAAAGATGTAGTAGTCTGTTCCTAGAAAGATTACACCTTGGAAACCCTATGGGGCAATTCTACTCTGCCCCATACGGTAGCAATCAACTCAACAGAAACAGCTTCAGTTTAAAAGTAATTTTAAAAGTGACTTTAGAGTTAGTTAGAGGAAGAGTGGCCAGGGAGGCAAAATGTGACATGAAGGAGGAGGTCCTTTGGTGAACTAAATGTGGTTAGCCCCAGTCCCTGCCCTCCTGAGGCCCAAAGCCCCCAAGGAGACAAACCAGTACATGTGAGGACCTTAGAGGGATGTACTCACACCCAAATACTAAGAGCCCTGGGGGCTGGGGGTGGACTGGGACTGCTGAGTTGCTGACTGTCTTGCCCCTCCCCTAGTCCTTGTACTCTACATAAAGTCTTTAGTTTTAAGAGTTGGACTGCAAAGCCCAGCCTACCTTGGAGAATGAAAGATTTCAACAAGATGGGAAAAGAGGGCGAGGTCCAGATTATCTGCAGTCTTCATCCAGAGCTGTAAGACAGAAAAAACACTCTGAAGCCAAGATGTATGCAGAAAAGGATTTCCAGACAGTATGAGAAAATAAGATGCTTGACATAGCACTTTTGCCTTGCAATCATCTGTGTGATTTCCTGGCTCTGCCATAACATGAGCTCTCCTGGTACTCAAAATTACATCTCAGGGAAGCTGAAACACCTTTTCTATGTCATCCATCTCCCCTGCTGTCTGGTACTTGACCATGGCTTTAATTTCAACCAAGGAAACATGCACGAAGGACCTTCCAGTTCTACTGGCCTCACTTCATCCTGCAAGGCATATGCCAGCATGTCCACATGCTGAGCACATGGAGGCTGAGACAGACAGGTGCCTTATAGGCCCCAATCATCACCAATCAGTGGTAGGACTAGAATCAGAAGTCAGGTCTCCACCTTACAACTTTAAGTGAAATCAATTATAGCAACCTAGCTTGTGAACACAGTATTTTCTTCTGTTCACTCATCTCTAAAACCTGAAACCCAACCTAAATTCTCCTTTCCTACATGACAGAATTGTGACTTACACACTTACCTAAGATACACTGAGATTCCTGGAGCAAAGCTTATTGTTCAGGCCATTTTAATAAATATTAAAACATGGTCACTAACCAGTTTCTTTGAGACAGCATTGATCGCCTGCTTTCTTGACTCCTTCTTAGTTCCCTATTTAGAAAGCTCTATTTTTTTCATCTCTAAATGCTGACATTTCCTAAAGCCCAGAATGTAAAAGGGGTGATATGAGGTTATAAGTGTATACTCATGTAGCATGAAATAAAACAACATTTAGAAATCATGCCATTTACTGGAGAGAAAATTACCAAAGTCCCAAAGTGAGATAGCAGCATCTCCTTTGTATAGATAAGGCTTAGAGAACGCACTGCCATCAAGTCAGATCCAACTCATAGCAACTCCTCCTTTGGTTTTGGTTATGAAAGTAGATTGCCCAACCTTCCTTCTGAGGAGTGGCTGGTGAGAGACCAAGTAATTATCTAGCATCCAACTGTTTTTAATTGGCAGAGGATGGTTTCAAGCCTGGGTTCATCTGACCCTGGAGCCCTTGCCATGTCCCCATACTATGCTCCCTCTCAGGCATCCCCTGCAAAGCAGTGATCCACAGGTTCAATATCAACCTTACTTGAGACCAATCTGTGGCCATGGCATGGTCATCTTACTTAAGAGGTGATGAACAAGAGCCCCAATGAACACAGGCTTATCAGAAGGGCCATGAAGGCATGGCCATCATTTTCCAATCCTCTGGGGCTAGCACCACACAATACACATGATAGGCACTCAAGGATCTATTCAATTATTTTTAAAGACAGAATGAAGTAAACCAAGTTAAAATAAGTGCACTGTCTAGGTACCTGTGGAAGTAGGTCATTTGTTGCCCTTTGGGATAGCTGATGTGGGCTGATATGCTAGGCATGGCATCCCAGTACACACACCTGTGGAACTCCAAAAGCCCTGTGCTCTCATAACACTCATTCAGTAAGGCAGTCAGTCATTCAACAAACAATGTCTTGGAAGCTGAGAGAACTAAGAAGGTAAGACATGTGAAACTACCAATCTGTTTTGCTGCACCTCTTTACCCTCATGTATTACATCCATTTCCTTTGCAGAACGTTGGAACAATATGAAGTTGCCATAACCATTTGAATGGCTGCCTAGCTCATCCAGAAATTGCATAGTACCAAACATCTGAATTTTGGGAAACAGATAAGTGCATCCTTTGGTTGTTATCCTATATCACATAATCCCTGTACTGAACTGAGATGTCTGCATTAGATTTGTTTGAATTTCAAATGGATAATGTGTCAAACTCCACCCTCTTTCCACCCCTGTAAACAACTCACTCTAAAAAATGAGCTGGGCCACCTCTTCAAGAAACAAGAAGTCTCAGACTTGAATGTCCTCAATTTCCTGTCCTGCTTGTCCCAAACCGGTCCTGGTGAATTCCATCCTGTCTCCTAATACCCATTCTCTTCTTTGCTATCCCTCTATCTCCTTTAAGAACTCAATCCAGCAATAGTTTATTTTTTCAACCATCTGTCAGAGGAGGCTTGCATGTTGTTATGATGCTGAATAGGTTTCAGTAGAGCTTCCAAACTAAGATGGACTAAGAATAAAGTTTTATTGCCAAATATAATGGACTTAACTTATATACTTGTCTTCATTTTCCTTCTTTCTTTCTTGAGTTTATTTTAATTTTTGCTACCTTAACTTCTTGATTTGGATGCTCAGTTCATTATTTTTTTCCTCTTTTTCTAATATACATCATAATTATCTAGTGCTGCTAGAATAGAAACACCACAAGTGGATGGCTCTAACAAGCAAAAATTTATTCTCATACTTTAGGAGGCTAAAAGTCTGAGTTCAGAGGACGAGCTCTGTGTGTCCCTTGTCCCTAGGAGGATCCCAACACAAGGACCCTAGGTCCAAAGGATGCGTTCTGCTCCTGACTCCTCTTTCTTGGTGGTAGTGTTGTTGTTGTTGTTATGTGCCATCGAGTCAGCTCTGACTCATAGTGACCCCTCCTTGGGTTTCTGAGGTAGTATCACTATGGAAGTAGATTGCCCAACCTTCCTTCTGAGGAGTGGCTGGTGGATTTGAACCACCAGCCTTCTGGTTAGCAGTCAAATGCCTTAGGCACTATGCTACCAGAGTTCCTTCTCTTTTCCCTCTCCTTTTATCTCTTGTAATATAAAAGGTTTTACAGGCCACACCTCAGGGAAGCTCCCTTTCTTTACATTGGATCAGGGCTGTGATGGGACTAAGAGTGTTGCAATTCACCCTTAATTTTAATCCTTTTACACCTTATTGGCTTATCACATCAAATCACATCATGGGGTATCATTACATATCTGCCATATCATTATATAACTTCTAAACCACTGAGAATCATGGCCCAGTCAAGATGACACAAATTTTGGAGGGGACACAGTTTATTTAATCCATGACAATACTTGATGATATAAATTTTCCTCTAAATCCTGCTTTCAGTGGCAACCCTCAGATTTTTGTACATAGTGGTTTCATCATCATGCAGTTCTTTCTTTTCTAATTTGACACTTTCCTCACGGACCCTTCTCTTTGCTCCACATCCTTTGGCTTAGTTCAAGTTTCGAAATCTTCCACCTGGATTTCTACAACAATCTCGTGACAGATTTCCTAGCCTCAGGGATTCTGCTACCAGAATAATGCATCTAAATAAAAATCAAACAAGTCACTCTCATAGCTATCATCAGCAGTTTGGCAAAACTAGTCAACAACAAAAAATTGTTTATAAAATTTTTATCTTCATAATCAACTATGACAATACATTTTATCTCTGACTGTGGTAGGAGGATGTATGCTCCAAAAATACCATCTCTACAGTGTTCAGAAAAACAACACAGAGGAATAATCTAAGAATTCAACAGTAATGGGATGAATAAGAAACTAGGAATTCTCCATAAGACAGAATATGATTCTGATCTCAAAACAATGCTTGTAAGAGTTTGTAATAAAATTGCTTAAATGTTTTGCTATGTGAGAAAAAGCAGGACTTAAAATAATACCTATAGCATGATCATGATTACAATACAAAAAAATTATACATAGAAAATATTAGAAAGGAATGTATCTAATTTTGATAACAGTTGTCTGGATCTTGGAAATAGGGAACATCCTCCCCCAATTTTCTGTAATTTAAAAATATCTTATAATAATATATTAATTTTATAATTAAAAAAAGAAGAAGAAACAGTCTGAAACTTTCCTGTACATCCATGGACCACCAGCATGCTTGAGTTAAAGGATGTACCTTGCAGTTTAGCACCTTACGCTGGCCTTCTCTCCTTCCCCCTGCAGCCTCACCTGCAACTAGAAAACCAGCATGGTGCCCCCCTACACTTACTCTCAAATTCCCATGGTTGTTCTCCTCCGTAATTGTTTGCCAATAGCAACTCCACTTGGAATGTTCTTTCCCCATTGAATTTGTTCTGCTAGACTCAGCTTCAGAGTCATTTCTCCTGTGGAATCTTTCCAGATCTGAACTTATTGTCATCTCACTCCCACTGCCTGGATATTCTTTGCCTGCTTCAATGTGGCACCTACTACAATATGTTGTCCGCTGGGGCATGTCTGGGGCCCATGTGCCATGTGGGTGGTCTGGGGCGTGGTTATCACTGTATTTCCAGGACATATCCAGTACCTGACCCCTCTCTGTAAATGATGCCTCATGAATAGATCATTCTTCACTTATCCTCACAAGTCCATCAGTAATAGCTTTTAATCTTTCAGAATCATTTGGAAACAACAAAGCATCATGCAAAGGCATTGGGGTAAATTAAAAAAAAAAAAAAAACCTTCATATGTACTTTGGAATTTAAAAATCCACTTTCTCTACACATGAACAAACTGGGACTCAGAGAGGTTAAGAGACTTACCTAAGGTCACACAGCCCATAGGTGGTAGGATTTGATGCTACAGCAAGGCCACAGGCTCCAAAGCCTTTGTGGTGTTACCTCTACTCAGCATGACTATCAAGGAAATTGGCCTGCTACATTTAAAAGAAACTCTAGAATTTCTTACCATAGTTTACCATCACATGTACTTTTTAAGGGCTAATGGCCAGTTTTCAGTTTACCTCAAAATTGCAGAGGACGTGCTGGAAGACACCAATGTTGATGATAGCAGATGACCCGAAGCCCAGTTCTGCAGTGCCAGCTATTGAGAGGATTAGCTGAAAAATTCTATGGTTTAAGAATGAAGTCTTTTTTCTCAGCAGAAATGCCATTATCTGAAAAGATTAAAGCACAAAGGAGTTTGCTCATAAACACATCTTTATAATCTTTTCTCTTTTCTACCTGCTTTTTCCTCCCAAAGGAGCTCTGGTGGTGTAGTGAGTAAAGCATTTGGCTGCTAACTACAAGGTTGGTGGTTCAAACTCACCATCTGCACTGTGGGAGGAAGATGAGTTAATCTATTTGCGTAAAGATTTATAGGGGGTTGCTATGAATCGACTCAGTGGCAGTGGGTTTAGTTTTTGTTCCCACCAGCACATTGGGTCAATCCAGTCTGACCCTCTGATCTCAGGTGTACCATCTTCTGCTCCTATGTTCTCAGACAAAAAAAAAAAAAGGTATTCACCAATTTCTGTGGCTACTTCTCTACCAGCATCCACTTTTCTGTGCTTGTCACATGCCTCTCACCAGGGGTCTCCTGCTCCTTTCTGAATCTCTTCCCTTTGATTTCCAGAATGCCACCCTCTTCTGATTTTCTTCTACATTTCTAAGTGCTCTTCTCATTTTCCTTTGCTGGATCTTACATCTGTAACAACCAGGAACCCACTGTCTTCCCCTGAGCCCTACTACACCTAGCCTGCTTATGGCTACAGTTGCCAGATGAATCCTTTTCTTGTGCCAACCCTTGGAAAGTTAACAATGTGTAAAGATTCCTACCAGGGTGGAGGCACTGGGATCTTACAATGGGCCCAGTTGCCCAGACTTGTCTCAGAGATTAACACAATGGATCCCACCACACTTCATGTCTCTGTTGACCTTCACCACACAAAAATGAGCTTCCCAGAACCCATCTGGGTCTGAACTCTTATTCATGTCTTCTAGATCTCATTCATCTCATATGGAGTCCCAACCATGTCATTTGTATTCCCAACCATGTCATCTCAATTCCCATACATGTCATCAGAGTTGCAACCATATAGTCTAGATTCACATCTATGTCATCTGAATTCCCATCCATGTCATCTGGATTCTCATTCATATCAGCTGGATTCTCATCCAGCTCGTCTATTGCTCTGTTACCTACCCACAGATCTGACGCTATTCACCACCCTCTCTATCCTCCCAGACATTGTCTTTCAATGAGCCTTTGGAAAGCCCTGTTCTGGGATCAGCAAATACTAAATGTCTTTCCAAACTACTCTAGCCACCTTCTTAATATATCTGAAATCTGACTTTAATCCTCCCACACAAGCCTCCATTAGAATGGCTGCTGAAAGTAGCTCAAGAGTAATCACACATTCAAGCTGACAGGTTTCACTTTACATTAGTAGGGTCAAATGTCAAATTGCTACTCAATTGGGCCAGGTAGTCCAACTAGATTTCTCTAGTAAGTTGGTTTCCCTAATCCTAAAAAGAGGAGCTCTGGTAGCATAGTGGCTAAGACACTTGCCTGCTAACCAGAAGGCTGGTGGTTCAAACCCACCAGCCACTCCTCGGAAGGAAGGTTGGGCAATCCTACTTCCGTAGTGATACTGCCTCGGAAACCCAAGGAGGGGTCACTATGAGTCGGGGCCGACTCGACGGCACATAACAACAACAATCCTAAAGATGATTTCATCTCTTTCACTTTCTCCTCAAGCCTCCTTTACCTTCCATCACCCTATTTTCAGCAAATAACTTCATTTCCTACTCTGCAGACATAAACACTCTTCTTTTCCTACCACCAAATCCAAAAATAACTGTATTACATTACTTCCCATCATGAGCAGGGTATCCTACCTGCCTCATCTTTGGATCCTATCCTCACCTCCCAACTTCTCAGGATGCTGTTTTTTCATCTTAATTCTTCTTCTTGGCTTTATCCATCTCTCTCTACCCTGGGTCATTTCTTTCCACATAAAAATATGCTCTAGTATTCTCACCTTAAAATTAACTCTCCCTTGATTCCCTAATCCCTTTAGCTCTGATAGTATTTCATTATTCCTCTTCATAGGCACACTTTTAGAAAGCATTATCAGCATACTCTGGCTTCACATTTTCACCTCCCATTCTCTCTACAACCCATTTTAGCTGGCTGTTCCCCCCATCTTTACCAATCTGCCCTTGAAAAGGTCACTGATGACTTTCAAATGATCAAATCTAATGGTGACATATCTGCCCTTCATTATTTATCAGTATTTAGAATTGTTTGATCACATCCCCCTTCTTGAAACACTTTCTATTCTTTCAGCTTCCTTGACAAAACTTTCTTTAGGTTCTTTTCCCTCTTTCAGTTCAATCACTTTTGTTGGGTTTTACTCATATTTCCAATCTCTGTGTGATTCGTTCTTTGTCACTCTTCCTCAGTTCTCCTCTCTCCCTACACTACTCTTTGGCTTTTTTAAAAATCACTTTTCTTGATTAAAATATCATCATCATGATGTTGATGACTTTCACATTTATAACTCCAGCCTGACTTGTGCCTCTGAGCTATTCATCCACTTGGTGTTTTAACTTTGATGTCTTACAGACATTTCTAACTTCATATGTCTTCCTTGCTATCTGTAGCGCTCTCTGGGCACACAGTTCTTTTGTGATGTCATCTGTTCAATCTCCTCAAAAAGATCTTGAGTTTTTCCAGGTCATACTATGTTGTGATTCTATGTCAGTCCCCAGTTCAAATCTGTCCCCACCAATGTACCACTCATAAGGACAATTCCAAAGCATAAACCATACCATCTCACTATTTGAAACTTTCCTATGACTCCATATCACCTCTGAGAAGAAATTCACACATCTTAATGTGGTAGAGTTCTATCCCCTCCCTCATTTTCCATCAAATTTGCTTGGCACTGCTCCACAGCTTTTCCTTTCTCTGTGGCTCTGTGCAGACATCTGTTTTTAGATCTCTTGAGTCCTTCCCTTGGGTATGTTTTTATGTTGAGTCTGGAACACTATGTTGCTAAGAAAATCCATCCCATAAAACTAAGCTAAGTGTCTTTAGTCTGAAAATAAGGTGATAGATAAATTTGATATAAATAATAGATAGGAAGGTTTACCCTTTCACATTCAATCTCAAACCAGCAAATGAACACAGAGTAAAAGTCTAAAAATGATCAGGTTCACTCATCAGCAAGTCATTAAACTGCAGACCCTTGTTTTCATTCACTGATCTATTCCTTAAATCCTTACTAAACATCTTCTCTCTATCATGTGCTCTTAGGGTGCAGCAGTGGACAATTCCAGCTCCTGCTTTCATGGGCATATGTCCATGAGGCCAAAACAGATCACAAACATGTAAACTTGTAAATAAACATCATACCAACTGGCAAGGCATGTTACGAAGAAAAGGAAAGTAAGAAAAGGTATCTAGAAAGAAATGAGGAACAATATTCTATTTTATAAAGAGTATTCAGGAAAGGTTAAAAATATATACTTAAAAATATTTTAAAACATAACTTTAAAAATGTAATATTTTTTCATGCAACCTTACCATTTCCCTCTTCCCTTAGCCTTACCCAGCCCTCCCTTTTTGATTTTTCATACATATTTCAAGTATCTCAATTTTTAGACAAAGAAGAGTTTTTAAATTTCCTTTGTTCAACCACTCATGAAGGCATCAAAACTGGAGATCCTGGATAGAGTGGGAGGAAAAATGTGGAACAAAATCCAAAAACACAATAATGACCAGAATTACTAGTCAGATAGAGTCTGGTGAGACCCCCAATACTATGGCCCTGGGATACATTCTGGGCCTAGAATAAAACTCACTCCCAGGGGCTAGCTCTCAGCCCAATAGTAAACAAGATGTACATGCAGCCCACTCAACCCAGGGTGACACACCCACATATTCTATGGAGATGTATCCCTTGGAGCAATTGACCATGGGGAACCAGAAGGGCAACATTTGCATGGAGGAAATGCAGGACATACAGGAGTGCATAATTATGAGAGGCATGGAGGGGGGGTGGGGAGTTTACAGGGCAGGGGTGTAGGGACAGGGTTAGGGCTGGGATGGTAAACAGGGAGTGAAACTAAATGTACACTAAATGTTGAATGTAAAACAAACTCTGCTCTGTAAACTTGCACCTAAAGCACTATATATATATATATATATATATATATATATGTTTTATTATACTTTACAGTTTTAAAGGAATTAAAAAGAAATAAATAAAATCTCCTTTGGCTACATTCATGTGTAAAGATATAATACATCTCTGACTCTGGTGTGTTCTTTACTCAAATGAGGTATTTGGGAGTCTTTGTTTAATTATGATAACATTCTTCTGTCCATTCTGTTAAACCGTAAGTTCTACGAAGGGAGGAACTTAATTCATTTTGTCTGTCCCTGCAACTCTAGTGTCTCTCCTCCCCTCCCTTTCCCTCTTTCTTCCTACATTCATTCAAGGAGCGTTTGTTGACCAGTCATGCCATGCCACATCCTGAACCAAGCTGTGAGGAGGCAATGGTAAACACAAAATGGTCTTAGCCCTTTAAGGAGCTCAAAGTTTATTAGAAATGGTAACCACAGAGTAACAGAGAGTGGTAGTTCTTGAAGGTAATCTTGGACATTTTATTGTATTTTCCTTTGTATTCAAATTATTTTATTATTTGTCTGATTAAAATAAGATATATCCAAGAGAACAGAAAGTGTTTTGTACTTTTTTAGGAATGCTCAAAATATTTATTATAACCTCTTGCCACAATACTCATGTGTTGAATTGGAACAAATCCTGTTACTATTATCCTTAACAATATAATCAAAGAAAAGTTTTATATACCAAAAGCCCCAATTCTTGAGTTTGAATATAAACTTTGGTCACAAGAATGGATTCAAACATGTCAACAATCATGTAGATGGCGCAGGACCGGGCAACATCTTGCTGTGTTGTACATAGAGTCACCATGATTTGGAGCCAACTTGATGGCAACAAGCCACAATATAAACCCAACCACATACTTTCACTTATTTCCAAGTGCCTATTTGGTGTCAGAGGAGCATAGTGTCTAAGGCACTTGACTGCTAACCAGAAGGCTAGTGGATCAAACCCACTAGCCACTCCTTGGAAGGAAG